AGCTCAAAGCCCAAAATTAGCCAAACGGACCACCGAACAAACCTTTTCCCAAGATAACAGACTGGAAAGTTTCCACACAAACTCACCCTTAGAATCCTCGCCTGGTTCTTTCCTGGCCATTCGAGCCGCAGTATCTTTTCAATTTCGCCGCCCTGTCAGCTTAATGGCCTGGGCCGGGAAAGACCCTGGCTTTCTCCCCCCTTCCTCCCTGGCCGTGCCCTTCGGGGCGCACACCAGCTAGGGGTTCAAAAGTTTCGGTTTCTGGGACCCGGGTTGGGGGCGGGGAAGGCCGTGGCTCATGGAAGGCGGTGGGCGTATGTGCCCTTTTCCTATAATGCTACTGTAAATAAAAGTTGATTGAGACATTGCTCCAGGTTTGCTTCAGTGGCTTTGGGGCTGGGTTGGGGGGGAGGGGGGGCGTAGGTGGGCCCCTCAGTGTGGCCGTCCGGCCCCCCACGCAGGAGGCTGAGGGACATGGGAGGACAGCAGGCGGGGTCCAGGGAATCGGATTCTCAGGCCCCAGACAGACAGAATCTGGAGGTTTTACCTTGAAATAATTTTAAACATAATGTGGTTGAGACTATTTCAGGACGAGAATTAAAGCCTTTCTCACGCCGCCAGGGTCCCCTCCCACCGCCTGACAGCCCCCCAGAAATAGCCCCGGCATAGTGGGGTGATGAGCAGATACCCACACATGTCCCTTCTGGTCACTTTGGATCCTCCGGGGGAGGTGCTAGCTGGGGATGAGGCAGGGCCGTGCCCACGAGACCCCCAGCTGCTCCCACGGCCTGGGGGGCTCACGCCTCCTCCCAGGGGCTGGGGAGCGAATAGCACGGCTGCCCAGGTGGCTGCCAGGGTCCGCGGGGCCACGCTGGGCAGGGCCGCTTGAGCAGAGGAATTCCTGCCCGTCGGGTTGCCCCACGCCCGGCGTCAAAGCCTGCCCTGTCGAGGGCACGTTCTCGGGCCTGGAGAGGGCCCTGACCTGGTGGGGCCCCACCGGGGTCTGTCACCCACGAGAATATTCATCTCAAGACACAGGCACCGAATGTCTAGCAGGAGGTGCTGTTCCCCTCCCGACCCACAGATGTGTGCGCTCTGCCCAGGCCGGCGGCAGGGGAGGGGGGGGCAGGGGGGCGTGGCAGGACCAAGTTCACTGGGAGGAGACCCTGCAGGTGGCCCCGGAGACGTCTGCTGGCCTCGCCTCCAATCTGTCAGGAGGCTGAGCCAAGGGGGTGCGTGCACGTGTGTGAGTGCATGTGGGTGTTTGTAGGTGTGTGTACATGCATGTGGGTGTGTGCATGCATGTGTGTGCACACGTGTGTGCAGGCATGATTAGGAGGAAGTGGGTGTCTAGGTGGGAGTGTACAAGTGCAGGGGGGCGGGGGCGGTGGCACTGCAGCCTGGGCTGTGTTTAAAGACCCTCGCGGTGTCCATGCGAAGCCCCTGTCAGACCCGAGCCCTTCCCGGCCT